GTGAGCAATGGCATAGCATGTGACCCAGGAAACAAGGAAGAAAAGGGCAGAAGAGTCAGGCTGAATTGGGGGCTGAAGACATAATGATGGAAGAAAGCATGCTACTGATGCTGCTGCTTGCTACTGCTGCAAATTGGGTTGCTAAGGATTAAAGAACGAAGAAACAGAGACTTGTGGCTGGAAATTGGAGCAGCTGCGGAGAAGAAGACTAAGAGAAGCAGGTAATGATGAGAGGAAAGTGGTAAATTGCGGCTGAAGAGGAGCAGCCAAAGAGAAGACTGCAACTTGCCAACTAGGAAAGTTGCAGAATAAACAAATCCCCTCTGCTGCAAGTTGATGTCTCATCTTTCTGCTACAGAGAAGAAGGCCAGAACTCCACTAATCCAAGCCTCTCCAAATCTCTATAAATAGCCAGCCAATAGCAGTAGGAAAAACAACAGATTGGATAGTTAGTTTTAGTCCAAAAGACAGTAGTAAGGTAGTTAGTTAGTTGGTTAGGAATAGGGTAGCAGCAGGACCAAGGCAGATTGTCACTCTGTCAAGTGGCAGATGCCACTCGCTATAGAGAGCAGACAGAACTGTCCCTACTACCCTCTTCCCTTTCCTTCCTCTAACCTTTTGATTAGGATTCATGTTCTATCTTTTGTACTTAGTTGCTCTCATGCTTAACTCAATAAGCATGAGTAGATAACTTAGTTAAGGGTTTAATCCCTACTATCTTTATGTGAAGGTTTTGATTTAGTTTCTTTGATGAGGTGTTGTGTCTAGTAAGTGATTTAATTTACCTTTTAGTTAACTTCATCAATTAATTCAAAATGCCTGCATGGTTATGAAGATCTGGAAGGAAGCGCATAACCTTAGAACTGCTTAATCTTGTCTATGACAGAGGAGGAATTCAACCCCTTTGGTTTCATTTACCAACGGCAGTTCAGTGGTGGCATATGTGATCTATAAGGGCTTAAGAACTTCATGGCTTAGATTAAATAGGATTCTAACTGGGTTGATAACCTAGGACTCTTTATTCTATCTGGAAGGAATTATAAAGATACATAGGTGCCTGATCGAACAACTAATCATACCCTACAGGAATATTGAATCAAAACTGGATCATAAAGATAGGAATGTGATTGACCCTTCTGCCTCTTCACTCTGTTAAGTGACTATTCTTACTCACCCAAGTGACAATCTGTTCAACTGTTTTCTTTTCTTTTCTGCATTTTAATCAGATTTTAAGCGCTTGACTGCCGTCCCTGTGGAACGATCCTGCTTACCACTAGCTAATAATCTCAAGTAGGTGTATAAATTATTCTTTTGGGAAGCGATTCCAACGGCAACACAAAAATCATCTCACCAAAAGTTGCACCGATTGCCGGGTATGGCGTTAAAAGTCCTTAAAGTTTGATTATTATGTTCTATTTTTATTCTTTTTAGTTTTTCTGTTTTTGTCAATTTCACTCATTCACTCACTCAAATCTTTTGTTGGTGCTTTTGTGATTTGATTACTGGTTTATGACTAGAAGCAATCTTTCGGGAGAGCTAAGTTTTGACCCAAAAATCAAAGACACGGCGAGGAGATCAAAATCCTTGCGAAACAGAGGAGTTGCTGCTCAGGTTCCTAAAGAAGATAAGAAGATGGCAGATGTAGCAGCAGCTGATCAACCTCAAGAGAGAGAGTTACAACCAGCTCAACCCAGACTGCTAAGAGATTATTTTGTACCTCAAGAGGATGAAGTTCAAATTCCATGGGTGTACAATGATGTTGTAGTAGAGAACTTTGACCTCAAAACTCAGATGATTCAATGGGTGCAAGTTGCTTGTCCTTTCTATGGATTGCCTAGTGAAGATCCGAATGAGCACATCAGAAAATTTCTGAAACTGCGCAGCACATTCAAAATCCAAGGTTTGTCTAAAGATGAGGTTTACTTGAGACTATTTCCATCACATTGCAGGATTTAGCAACAAAATGGTTGGACACTCTGCCCAACAATTCAATCAACTCCTGGAATGGACTCAAACAGGCATTCCTTACCAAATTCTTCCCACCTGTCAAAGCTGCTATTTTAAGATCAGCCATCATGACTATTCAGCAGCATGGGACAGAGACTCTTTATGAGGCTTGGGAAAAATTTAAGGATCTGATGAGGAAGCGCCCTCAACATGGTGTGGAGAAGCCTATGCAGCTGTGTATTTTCTACAATGGATTGAAGCAAGCTTCCAAAGAATCACTTAATTCATCATGTGGAGGAGCATTCGTGATGAAACCTGTAGATGAAGCAATCCAACTGTTAGAGAGTATGTGCGCTAACCATTTCAGATGTCAGAAGGAGCCAAGAACTATAACTTAGAAAGCAGGAGTGTTGGAGTTAGATGCTACAACTTACTTGCAAGCACAGATGGCGGCCATCACCAGTGAAATATCAAAACTGAGAACGGACATCAACAAACCAAAAGTTGATGTATGTGAAATCTGCACAGAATCTCACTCCAGCTCTACTTGTCAAGCTACTATGGAAGAAGTTCAGTTCGTGAGGCAAGGAGATAACAAAGGAGGCTTCAACAATGACAACAATTGGAGGCCACAGCAGAATAACAACCGGACTAATCAGCAGCCAAACTACCAGAGATCAGCTCAACCACCTAGATTTCAGAATCAACCATTCAGAGTCAAGGAGGAAGACAGGATCAAGGTTGGTAATGTTCTTGCTAGTCTTGATGCAACTGTGAAAGATATGCAGAATCAGGTTGCACAAATGGCAAGGAAGATACTAGACAGACCTGTTGGCACTCTTCCTAGTGACACACTTGAGAATCCCAAGAGGAGGGAAGCACACAGCAAAGATCAGAAGGCTAAGATGCAGCACAAGGAGGTGTTGCAAGTGAAAGAATCCAAGTAAGGAGCACCAATCAGTCTGGAATGAGACGTTAAACCAATGCGCTGCTTGAGAGGGAACCCAAGGTAAGTTATTTTGTTCTTCTTAGTTTTGTTTCAATTATCTTTTGCTAATTAATCAATATGCTTAAGTGGTAATCAGAAAGGGTGGAATAGCCCTTATCAGAAATTTTCATATGAAGACTGTGTGGATGGTTAACCTGAAATGCCTTGCAGACTATGATATAATCAGAGCGGCAACATTTCAGTTTGGTAATCTACACAAAGCAATAAAAATTGACTTGTCGTCTCAGTTGGGTGAGTGATATACTCACTTTCACGATTGAGATGATTTGTCAAGATTAAATTGCAACTAAAAAGTCACCAAGTGTTCATGGTAATACTCACTTTACCTTGGGTTGCCTCCCAAGCACCATTGGTTTAGTAGATTGCCAGACTCCTTGATGTTTTCATTCTAATTCCTTGAGATACAACACATCTTTTTGTTGTATTTCTGCTTTCTCTATTGGATTATATGGCTTCAATCTTTGTCACAAAGAATGTACTGCCATATTCCAAATTAGCTAGCCTCACTGCTCCTTGATTTAGGATCTTTTTTTATTTCAAATGGACCAGACCACCTTGACCTAAGCTTTCCTGGAAATAATTTCAATTTAGAGTTATATGATAACACTAACTGACCTTCTTCCAGCTGCTTCTTTGCCAATTTTCTATCATGGTATACCTTGGTCCTTCCTTGTACAATCTGGATGATTCATATGCATTCTACCTAAATTCCTCCATTTCATCCAATTGCAACAGTCTTTTTCCAATCACGGCTTCTGTTTCATAATTGAGTTCCTTGATAGCCCAGACAGCTTTGTGTTCTAGCTCACGGCTTCTGTAAGCCCATATAGTATCATCAAACCTGAATGCCCAGTCTTTTCTGTTACTGCATACCACCTTTTCCAAGATTTTCTTGATTTCCCTGTTGGACACTTCAGCTTGTCCGTTTGTTTGAAGAACTGGGGATATATCCGATAAAGGTCATAACGGGGACAGAAGGAATTGAGGATATATTTGATTGGGAGTATTGTGTAAGAAATTAGGGTTTATGAATTGGAGATATATGGGGGCATTATTTTTTTCCCCTTATTTGCTTCCAAATATTTTAAAATTTCGGGAAATATCTAAGTTTCCCACTCCTAAAAAATACTTTTTTGTTGGACTTGAAATTCCCCCAACCCATAGCACGTGCCAATCACATGCCTTTTTAGCGGGAATTCAAATGCCTCCAACCCATAGCACGTGCCAATCACATGCATGTTAACTTATTAATGGTCACGGAGAGCATATTAGGGTTTTGGGAATGATACTAACCTTTGGGGTAACTGGGAATGTTTTGAACTTACATCTTAAAACCAGATCCGAGTCACAACCTTTGCGTGTTTTACTGGTAAAAAGGCTTTAATATTATGATAAACTACTCTATAACTAAATTTTAAACTATTGTTCAAGTTATTAATTATTATTGTTCCTTTTTACCTAATGACATCGCGAGTCACTTAATATACACAAAGTTCTAAAAAAATATATTAATCAACTCATTTGAAGACTTCTTTACCATGGGTGGACTTTTTAAACAATGTTTGTGATATTAAACTTCGATATTCTAGGAGTACCAATCCCTAAAGTAGTTAAAAGTACTTTGCTTCCTTCAATCCCTAAGGGGTTCTATTGCGACTTTCTCTGATGTACGTCCAATCAGCCTTTGTAATTTTTTGAATAAGATTTTCACTAAGGTCAACACCAAAAGGCTCAAGATAGTTCTTCCAAAACTAATTTCTGAGGAGCAATTGGCTTTTCTAGCAGGAAGGGACACAACTGACAATATTTTACTAGCACAGGATCTTTGTTAGTTTATTGATCATAAGTCTGTTCGGGATACTTTATAGGAGATTAATTAGAATATTAAATCTCATCAAAACATGCATATTTATTGTGGCTGAGGGCTAACCTAAACTCAACTAATTCTGACAAATTTTCAAGTATTATATATCCACAAACGGACGAGATAGATCATAAAGTCCAATTCAGTTTGCTTATTTTCCATATATTCGAAGGACGAAAAATGTTATCAACAGACAGTAGTAGTTATTTACCCGAGTTGTGTTTGTTTGAACTATTGTACAGACTTTCCATTAGGGAAGTGTTGAGATTCAAGTGCATCTCCAAACAGTGTCTCTCATTCCTATCCGATCCATCTTTTTATGAAGAGTATTATTATCGAGGGTTGGCCTCTCCCATCACCTTTCTTCTATCAGAAGTGCAATTGGTTGAAAGGCACCATAGCCGTCGTCCGGGTGAACTTGAGGGATTTACTTTACCGACTTCAGTGATCCGAGGATAGGTAGCCAGAGTCTGTATCAGAGCAATAGACAAAGGGTTTCTTTTGGTAGCAAGGGAGAAAGTGCCGATGGAATTTCCAGTAAATGATCCTAATAGCATGCCTTTTTATCCTTGTTTGGATTTCTTCATTTGTAATACCATGACCAAAGAGTGGTTTACCTTTCTTCCACACATCTTTTACACCCAAGCCAATGTTGCTTTCATCATGCTAGTGGAAGCTGCAATGTTGACCGACTATAAAATCGTCTGTTGATAATCTCAAAAGATTGCTTAGCTTTTGAATTTTTTCTTCATATACAGAAAAACAGGGATGGGTGTATTTGACATTGTCTTGTGAACGTCCGGTTTTGATTTCGTGTTCTGAGAGACCCGCTCTTTTGAACACTACTTTTTTCTATGTAGATGAGAGTGAAACAAGCGGAATCCTAGCTTATGATCCTTATGTCAATCCTCATAAGTTGTGCATAATTGAGCTTCCTACTAATCATGCAGGGAATGATGGTTCAAAGACTTCCCATTGTGGTGTTTCCCAAGAACGTCTAAAATGCTTTCAAATCATAGGACCAGATGATGCTCATCAATTCAAGAGCTTAAAAATATGGGAGTTACTAGACCACGACAAATGGTTTCTTCAACATACAATTGGAACGAAAGATATTGAACTTCCTTCTTTTGATATGGGCTTTCAAATTCAGGGGGTTAACAAGGCAAAACTTGCATCATTCCATCCATTTAATCCAGATGTAATGTATTTTTATTTTTAGGGAGAAGAGTTTTGCTTGGTGTCCTACCATATCCAGACCAGGAAGAAGCGACCAAAAAAACATAGTGGAGAAGATTAAAAGTCGAGATAGAGAGAAATGTGCCACTGAAAGAATGAGAGCTGCTATTATTGATAATTCAGAATTTTCTAGGAATATTTGGGAAGGGTCCTCAGTTTTGGCATCAGTAGGACCAAGATATGTGACCAGCCTCTCAGTCTTTTGAAATGTTGCTGAGTTTTCTAATCCATATGTGGTTGATATGCTTTCATTATCATGTTCAGCGGGGGATGTTCCTCAATATTCTCAAGCAAAGGTGCCTGAAGTGCCTTACATTTCTAAGCATTTTCCCAGTGTTCCCCAATATTCTTATGCACAGACGCTTGTACGCAACATGAGATGGAGCGATTACATTCCCAAGGTTGAATCTTTTTTCTAAACACATTTGCACGGTAGTTATTAAAACTTAATATCAGACTTTCAACACCTCAAAAACCACATACTCTATAATCCTTGATACATATATCGCTAGGGACTTATATGTAAGGAAACCTCAATCTTATATTTACTATCGGACCCAAATTCTCTGACAACATCCCTAACGATCAGCTACCGTACTCTAATACCACCTGTAACATCTCAGGTTTACCTGCCTGCCTTAACTCTCTTTTTTTCATTAAACAGTATAACTTGACAAACCGGTAAAATCAGAATGTTCGACGGGCTCTCGCCCAAGGCGAACTACTCTACTATCTTTTAGCGGAAGTTTGGGAACCAAGGTAAATCATAAGAACAAAATCTCTTAGAGTTGATTACAATAAATTTAACATCCTTGCAGTTACATCATTTATAATTCAATATTTTAGTCCAAAGGAATACTAGCGACCTCGACACTCCAAAAACTTTCTCAAGAAACTTCTCAGCTGACAAACCTTCTCTCCTTCTCCGCAATCCTAGGAGGGGAATAATTAGATACCAATAAAAAGGTGAGTACCGAGCTTTGTGAGGTTCCCACTAATACTACATATACATACATTTATGAAATCAAATAGGGTTGATACCCCAAAATTATTGAATCTTTATCAATTAAAGCAGTGCATCACAAATTAACGGCAATTAATCCAGTAGTTTAAGACAATCATGGACAAACAATAGATACATATAAGATTACTAAACATCAAGGAAAGGATCTAGTCCTAGTGCCTATATTGCAAACATGGCCAAATTCCTAACCCAACTGCCTTCTGTCAATTCCAATTCGACACTAGGCCTTGAAATTCCAATTGTCAAGAGAAGCAACCTCCTCTATTGCATATGGCAAATCCACCAATCACACCAAGTCGCGACCGGATATCTCATGAGAATCCTCAATAGATACTTTCGGCAAAGGACATGACCAAGCCCGATGCTGACTCATGACACATTTGCTCATTCAATCGTCTAGGCCCTTAATCATGCATAAATAAATGCAAGTACATTTTGTAGCCACGGTTGACTAGCGACCTCACATAATGCAATAAGTATCACATAGGCAATAAATATAGCTTGAAAAATATTTCACAAACTGTCATGTGTCAATTGACAATCAAGGCAATCAAGAAAAAACAACATGTTTACATAATAAATATGCTCTAGGCGGACAAGGCCACCCTCGGGATTCCACAGCAATATACAATTAAACATTTTAGAAGAACGTACCCATGTGCAGTGCCTTTTGAATATAATCCACACTTCCAGGTTTTAAAATAATTTTCAATAGAGTGAGAATTAATCACATGTGCTACTATGAGCCTTTTGATAACTAGAAGTGTCTCCCGCATTGTATCAACTAATCTTGAACTATCAGTCGGATATTATTGCTTATTACAAGTATCATTACTATTCTTTTTTCTTAGAATATTGTTAATTTAATTAATCTTGGATTTTAACTACATTGTCTATACTATTCAATATATAGTACAATGAATTACCTCCGAGGTGTCCCTATTGTTCTATATATTTGACAATTGAACCAATATTAACGATCATAAGTTTTCAATAATCTCTAACCTACAACCAATCACTAGTTGATAGGGAATTACCTCAATCATATACAATTCATGAGGTCAATTATAAGAATTATGGCTAAGTTTCCAATTAAAACATAAGTTAATAGACTAGAACGCACAATCGAATTCGGGCCATCTTCATTGATTCAACTGTCATGATCTGATATGATTCAATGTGTCTATTTTACGAGTCTATTTTACAACACTTTAATCGGCTCTTAAAACGGACTTCTCTATGAAGAATTATGCTTACTTTCCTAAGACCATGTCCTGCTACCTACAACAAGGTCACAGTCGGACTTGTCGTGTTTTCAATCAAAATTTTGTGCGGCTAATGGTTTACAGTACCAATATGTTTAGGGCCATAAAGAAATCAAACTAAAATTATAAACTACTATTTAACTCAAATTTATAATCTATATAAACTAAGAGGGTTATTCTTTTGATTACCTCTTATGCAAAAATCTTTGATCCAGTGCATTCAGCAATACGATCATAACTTCTTCCTACTCCTTAACTCTCACAAACCTTTCTCCCTTCCTTCTGTATTTTGCTTCCCCCCTTTTTTCCCTGTAAATTTGGTTGTGAGTTAAATGAACTTGCTCCCTCTATTTATGGCTTGCAATCTCCTATATGCACCATCCATCTTCCTAGGCTCGTAGGTAAGATTAGTCATCACTTTAGACACCAAATTCAGCAAGATCTTGGCTTTCTCAACATGACGGGATGACTCACCGGTTTGTTTCACTTCACGCTTTACTTTCTCCAAGCTGATGGATTTTCTTAGTCACTTTATAGCTATCATGAGCCACCTCAAAGAGCCTACATGGATGAATAAGCTTCCCAACTCTAGCTTGGTTTTTTTTTTATCCTTCCACGTTCTATTTTCTTGTTTAGCTTGGTCGAGTATCATGGTGAGTAAGCTATATGGTTCACTAGGTTCTTAATGCATGATTCATTGTTTTCAATTTTCCCAAGTAGTTCACTTGAAATTGCATGTTCTTTCAACGTGGCAGAGGTGAGAAATGACAATTCCATTTTTTTAGTTAACTAGTTAATTATCCTTAGTCTTACACTATCACCATTATTTTTGTTTGTTATTTCATTCACTTTCTTTTAGTTATTATGCATAAGAAAATCTATACTCTTATTCTTAATTTGTTGTAATAAAATAAACCAGGCCACCTTTTATGGGTATTACACACCATAACCCTATTAAAAGGCTTAAATTTGAACCTTATTGTTTTAACCCCGCCTTTTGGAACTTTACAAAAACATTATAGGAATTTTTGAATTACATGAGTATAACTGAATTAAGTTGAAAAAATGAACTCATTCAGACCTGATTGCTATGTTTGAGTCTTGATTGAGTGTTGGTAAACTTGTTATACTTCCATTAGTTAAGCGGTTTTGAATCTTCGATGGTTCTTTACTTCACAGCATCTGTATTTTTATTTTTATTTTTTATTTTTGGGTTAAAATAACCTATGTATTCATGGAACTTAAACTTAAAGCATGGTGAAAGTTGAACCTTGGTCCATGCATAATGACCCAAGCCCAACATGGAGGGTTCCTTAGTTAAAAAGTTCGCAACGCCCTGCTTGTGAAAAAACCTGCATCCGTAATGTACAACAAATAGTTGGGGTAATGTTCCAAAAATGCTAAGAACAATAGATATAATACTTGATTCGCACAAATTACACTGTTTTAAAGAAACTATTTCATTGTAACAAAATATTCCCCCCAAGATAAAACAAGTCTTTGTCTATATAGATTAAAAGGACACATGAACTAACAAGTATATAGATCCAATACTTAAGAGGGATTGAAATAGGAATAAAAAGACTCAAGAGAAAGTTTGCTTGAGGGATTTTTTGGAATTTTAGAAAAGTGAGAAAGGCATGTTTTTGTTCTTGTTTGGTGTAGCGAATTGGAGCTTTCTTCCCATCTATAATCTATAATCTATAGTCCTCATTATAACAAAAACTGCATTTTTTTCCTCAAAATTTCAAGTGTCACTCAATCCTTAAAATTAGTTCCAAGCCATTCATTAAATCTACACGTTTCAGCAATCTATCTATAACCCCCATTATAACAAAAATCACTTTTTTCCAAAGATCCAAGTGTCACTCAATTCTTAAAATTAGTTCCAACCCAAATATTTCATTAAATCTACACGCTTCAGCAATTAAAATTAAAACAATTCGAAAAATAATTTCTTTTTTAGGTAAAATGTGAATTGCATTGCTTTCTCAAAATTGCCAAAAGTGTTCACCTATTTACAAGCTATGCATATTCCTATTATCTGTACAACTACCAACATCAGCATAATAAAATTAAGGGGACAAAAAGTCCACAACTAACTATTACATTAGATCTGTCAGAAAACGTTTCTCGGTTGCCTTCTTAGCCTTGCATTTGCTATAACACCTCCATCTGATCTCTTTTTTTATATTCTCAAAGATTGCTTCCACCTCATGTGCTTCCCCTCATGTAGTTGGTGATTTCGAGCTTGCCAGATATGATAATACCCAGCTACAATGAGTGCATATAAGATTTTTTTCTTCAAATTGCTGCCCTTCCAAACATAACAAAGTCTCTGCCATTTATTCAGTGTTTTCCAGCTGCTTGGAAAGTTCAACCATCCCCTAATTCTCTGCCATAAATCCTGAGCAAAACTACACTGATTAAAGAGATAATCTAGATTTTCCAAACCATTGTTGCATAAAAGGCAATTCTCATCTGCAACTGTGATTCCCATCTGCTTGATCCTGTCTTTTATCAGCAACTTGTTTTGCCAACATAGCCAAGCCACAAAATAGTGTTTAGAAACATTAACACTATTCCAAATGAGGTCTGTCACCCTTAGCTTCTGTCTTGGTTCTTTCAACCAGGTATAGGCAGATGCAGTGCTATAAACACCATTCTTCTGAGCCAAACATCTGTTCCACTGGA